TGAACTTCACAAACTCTTGTTGGGTCCTCTTTAAACAGTATTCTGATTCGTTTTCTCCTTTGTATTTTTCCTTTAACTGATAAAGCAGTGAGTAATGAATCTTCTCTTAGAGAGATGTGATTTAGTCTGGTTTAATTTACTAAGCAACCTTGTCTTCCTGGCTACTTCGAAAAGGGCTTTAGAGGTCCAGAGGAGTTTGAAGAGTTACGTACTCCTGCTTTCGTCTAGGAAGGTATTTGGAAAGAACCAAAATACATTAGCTGAAAGATTTCTTTGTGGCCAGAGGGGATAATTCTTTGGTAGTGCGCCAGTTGCATCATAACAGTAAAACAACTGGAAATTAAAACAGTAATACAATTTTAGGTTGCCTCCCTTCTGCAACCGTGGAGTCATTGCCTCTTTTTATTCTCATACTCTGCTAATTGTTAGGCTCTTCCTTAGCAAGTGAGCCATTGATGGTTCATAACATGACTACATGACTGTTCATAGTTATGATACACCTGTAAAAATGAAACAGGTGGAGAAATATCACTTTAGAAACTTCATTGCTAAAAGTAAGCACAAAGGTTCATGAAATCACTTAATTACCAACCTCTTTATTTATTTATATCTTAAAAGAAAATGTATCTGGTGGCCTGTATTTCAGATTAAAAAGGGATAGATTCGTATTGTAAGAGGTGGAGAGATATTACAGTTGAGGGGAAAAACGGGAGGTATATACTTTTAAAGGAAAAACATTTATATTTGCCAGTAACTGATTTAACTTCTGACATGTGCTTTCCAGATGAAGGTATGTTTATTTGGCATGTCCATGTTTGTTTGTGTCTTACGAGAAAGATGTGGAAGGAGTCATGAGTGGGAGAAGAGGCAGGAGTATAATCAGGAGGCTGGAAAGAACTCAGATTTTTTTTTTTGTTAATTAATAAGTGGGTTGTGTCATGTTGTCTAAAAGCAAAGGCCAGAGACACAGGATTTAAGAGTACTCATCAAACCTCTACAGTCTGTGATAGAACAGTGTGTACTTACTGCTGGAATTCTTGACATCTGGACTGAGCTAACAGCATATCCAAGGAAAAGATTTTTACCTGCATGCTGATCTGTTTACCACTCTCTTTCAGATTGTGGCCTTGTGCCCTTTGCTCATATGCAAAGTTGGAGTTGGTACTTCTGCATTACTTGAAACACCTAAATGAAGTAGTGAGGCTTACAGGTAGAGGGTTTTCGTCCACCTGACAACTTTTTTTCTTTTTAGATAGTTAATTGCAGAGTTACTTTTCTATGCAAATCCAGCTGAAAAAATCCAGAATAAGTTGATTCGCCCTTTTTTTTTTTTTCCAATAGCTTGCCCATTTGAGTCTGCATGTTTCATCCGTTTCAGTACGTAAGATGCTAGGACTTGGATAATTCCCAGAAATTAGTCTGCTCTGCTAGGAAAAGTCCTCAAAGGAAAATTTGGCTTTTAGTGTTCTTTTGTGTTTGTATGTATATGTTTGCAGTGATGGAGAATTTCATTTTTCCAATCAGTGAATAGGTGTTGAATCATCATCATCATCATCATGAGGATCATACCAAAGCTTGAGGGAAATAAGAAGATCAGCTGAACAAACTGTCATTAGCTTTTGATGTGTCTGTGACTGGCATTTCTTCTACTCCCACACGTATGCAGAACTTTTTTGTAGAAGTTCTTGTTGCATTATTGAGTTTCAGAGGACAATATAGTATTTACACATGCTGTTTGGGGCAGATTAAATGCAGTTAAATTTTGAATTCTTAACTATTCATTTCAAATATTTGGCTATTTTATTTGCTTTGTTACTAGAATCTTTATTTAAAGTTCTAATTCTGTTACATCTTTAGGTGAAAAGTGAGAACTGAATTTACATTTTCTCTGTGCAAAGGCACTGTAGAAGTAAGAATGCTTTTGAAGCTTTCCTTTTTGCTTATATATGTAACAACTTGTGTAATAAGCTGCTTTAATTAAAATTTTTCTTCATCTAATTGCAAGTAGAGTTCTTTCAGCAGTCCTCATTTGGAACACTTTGCATTTATCTGTTCTAGAAAACCATCATTTTGAATTCTTTGCCTTACAGGTATATTTTGCTGAAAGAATATCTGTTGCAGAGTCTCTGTAGCTGGTCCATTCAGAGACTGGTTTAGGAACTGCTTAAAACATAGTCCCATGTAAACCTTGTTTGTGGTTTCCTCATTCAAAACCATGACTTAGGTAAATCCTTTGTATTTGAGTACATTGCAGCATATTGGTATTTAACCGCTTCTCAGGTTTTTGGCTACAAAAGAATGGGAATCTGAGTGTTATTCTTGGAGAAATTTTTGAAGTGCTTACTGAAATAGGTACTGAAGTGACAGCGGTTAGGAGCTCCAAATTCTGTGGATTATGTATCTATTCTGTGTGTGTTACTGAAATGGTCTTCATAACATTTCAAACTTGGAGCAGCTTAATTTTCTTGTAAGTTTTTATTTCATGTCATGTAAATAAGAGGAGATGGTAAAACTTGTGAACAAGACTAGTTGCCACCTGGAAAGTGTGTGTAGTAATTTTAGAGAGGCTGTTCTGGTCAAAAGGTAGTTGTGTGTCTTAATCTGATAGGTTCATCCTGTAGAATGATGTTGCTTAACACCTGTACCTAGCTAATGTTGGAATGCTAATGGTGTAATACTGCCTCAGACCCAGTGTTCCTGGTCACCTGCCAAAGTAATTGTGGTACCAATCTACTCATATGGAATAAACATGAGTTTACTGTGAGTAATGGTTAAGAACTACAGATAGTTTTAAAAGCATTGATGTGGGGGAATTTACTGGTTCTGGGTTTGAGCTTTCAGGATACACTCTTACTTAGCTTATAAACCAAACAAGCAGATTGAAGAGTTTGTAAGCAGCTTTCTTCCAGTATGATAATATTGTCTTCAGTCGAATATGGTAAATTTAAGTGTTGACCAGTGAGCTCTTCCACCTTTTCATAGCTTCACTGTTTCTTCCTGAGGATTTAATGCAATTGGGTAAGGACAGATGTTCTGAATTAAGACACACCACATGTCGTCTTGTTAGGATGCCAGCTGAATGCCTGACAACCTGTCAAGAAATCACCCATTGTGTGTTGGGTGACTCAGATGCATTCAGAACTGAGTGCTGATATATGTTGTGCAACGACCTTTGTAATTTGGCTCTAACAATGATTCCAGGCATCTGTGTACTATATAAATATTTCTATAGTTATATAGTACACAAATATACTATATAAATGACTTGCAGGTTGGGGGTTGGGTATGCTACTCTTTTGGGCATGTCTTCTCGCTTACATTCATGCTGTCTTCAGTCTGCATAGTTCTGTTTCAGTCATATCTGATACTCAATTCCATTCTCTGAAAATGTACTTCTGTGCCTTACTGGATAAAACATTCAGTGAAACCTCAAATGCTGCTTTGGAGAACTAAGACTTAATTGGCTGTAAACTTCTTGGTTTGGATAGTTGGGTATAATGTTTTCTTCATGTGTATGTGAATAAATGAACTTAAATTCAGGATGATAGTCAAGCTTACTGTAATAGTTAATTTGATGAACCAGTTAAAATGCCGGGTGTGTGAGGTAGTGTTTATTTTTTAGCAAGTCTGTTTTGTCTCCTTGGGCATTTCTTACTATGCCTATTAAAGGGATATCTTTCTCTCATCTTCTAGCATTTAAATGCTGTGGAAATAGTTTCCAAATAAGAGAAACAGGGACTGTATGAACATAAACTTTGTTCTGTAATGTATTCAACCTGATAATGTATCTATAAGTCTGCATATTAGCATGTTACTAAAGTTAATTTCCTTTATCGGTCTTGGAGTGTTAGCCCTTAAAACCTAGTTCTATGTGAAATACTCTGTTAATATAGTGGTTTATAGATATGTACCTTTTCACCTTACACTTCTTTTGTAAGATTGCAGAAACAAATGTCCTGTTCTGTTCTTCCCAGTCATGTTCTAAAGACACATCAGTAGCAGAAGATGTCATAAACCTTGAGAAGCTGCAACTTAAGTGGTCAGAAGGACATGTTGCTAACACATTAGAGAGATACTGCCTTGCAGCGCAGAACCTGAGTTCTAGGATCTGTTCAGACTTGTCCAATTCTTAATTTGAAGCAGAATATTCATAATTATATGAAAATATTTTTCAGTTAAAGCTAGTGCTAGCAAGAATGTCAGTGAAAAGAATTCAGATTACTTGCTAGAGAAGATCACATTTATTTTGATGTGAATGTGAAGTTTATTCATGTTTCTTGTTTTATATGTGATACCTGCACAGGATGAGAGAGGAGTATTCTTTTCTTGTATGGTTTGATACATTTTCACGTTAAGCTTTGGGAACTTCTACATTAGTGACTTTAAAGTGCCTGCTTCTCATCAGAAATGCAGAAATGCTTAAATCCAACACACCTAAAAGTTGCAACCAGTGTGTAGCAGATAATCGGATTACTTTTTCGCTATCAATCATTTATATTACATATTCAAGATGTTTCTAAAACTATTTGTTGCGAAGCAGTTGTTCAGCTACGGTGTAAATATTGACATGCTATCACTGAGGACATTTAAACTTTAATCTAAATTTTTGAGGTACTATTGAGAGTTCAGTTTTTGAAAATTCATCTTATGATTGAAAAATACCATAGGTGACCCTGTATGTGTGATAATAAAGGTGACGGAAAAGTGAAGGTTTGGTAGTATCAACAGCATATATACAAATGAATCTTTTCTCCTGAATAATAGAAAACTAAGTTATCTTTGCTAATGAAAATGAAATGTGGTCTGTCTGATTTTGTCATCAGAATTTGCACACTTCCTGAATATCAGCCTTTATAAAAGATTAAAAAAGCCATTTCAATTCAATATCAGATTAATTTGGTAGTGATTACATTGAAATACGTGTATAAACAGAGGTTTACATGAGCAGACTAAATACTACTGCCTTGAAGTAACCTGTCTTTACACACTTTCTGTTACAGATTTGTACTATGGTGGAGAAGCTTTCTCTGTAGAGCAGCCGCAGTCTTTTACTTGTCCTTATTGTGGAAAAATGGGTTATACGGAAACATCTCTTCAAGAACATGTTACTTCTGAGCATGCAGAAACATCAACAGAAGTGGTACGATGCCCCAGAATTGCCTTTCAGTTGTGGTAGAAATATATTAAAGAGTCTCTCTGCTGGAGAATTGGTATCCTCTTGTTTTTTTTTTCTTTCTTGAAGCATGAATTCATTTAAATAGGATATAGAAGAATATAGAAGCTTTATATAGAAGACATCCCTATGTCTGTCAGTGACATCAAAATTCTGTGTTTCATGTGTGTTGTAATATAATGAGCTTGCTTTCTTTTGTGGTTGCTGTTTGTTTGTCCTGATAAAAAGGCTGCCATATTTAGGAGGTTATCCTCTAAGACGAAATTTAGAATATTATGGTTATTCCATGTAGCTCCCTTTTCACAATCAGTATGTAATTGTCCTGGAAGCTCATATCTATGCCAGTCTTTTGTAACTATAAAAGAGGGGAAGACAATTTGATGTGTTATTCAAATAGTTTTTCTAACGGACCTGGTATGCAGGTGCAGTGAAAGTTGTCATTCTTTTGAAACTATTGCTGTTAAAGCAGGGATGTTTCTCACATCCTTAACCCAGTAGGACATGTATGTCTGTTGACACTTGTTTATCTGAGGTGTTAACTCCTGCTGTCTTGATAGTCTTTAGGAATAGGAGAAATGAGGTTAGCAGACTGAAATCTAGGGTGTTCTCGTCTGGCTAAATAGATGCCTAGAAAAATGTGAACGCTTGAAGTGGATTATCACCAATAAATTGTGAAGTAATTGCTTGCAAATAGGGTCCGTATTCTAATCTTCTAGTTCTCTTAACTTGTAAAGAATTCTGTGGAAGAAAATGAACCTTGCCGCTCCAAGCCTGTTAAGGATCTTGTGTGAAGGAAGGAGCGATAGGAGAGGTGATTTGCCTGCCTTTTTGAGACTCCAAAGGTGTTATGACTCTTAAGGACATATGAAGTTAAGAATTTTATTTCACAAATAGTTGCACTGTAGGATCATAGTTTAGCTTCGTGATACACAGCAGATTTTATCATCTCCTTGAGCTTTTCTTTAACTTCACAACTTTCAAATGTAGCATCAGCCGTTGACAGTTCCATGTTTGGATGGCTTTCTTTGGTGGCTTAGTATTGCAGTTCTGATTTGCACCACTTGATGTCAGTGTTACGTTCCTGACTCGGAATGTTAAGATTCCAGGTTTTTACATTTGACACACCCTTGTTTGCAGCTGTGACTTCTAGAACTCAGTACATAAAGCCTAGATTTGTGATCCTAGACACCTGCTGCTGCACTGGTTCCCGACAGAGGTGTGTGTGTAAAGAAAAAACAAGTTCCTTTTTGTGAGTCAGTCTGCATTGTTAAATCTTTGTTCAAAACAGTGATAAAGGACAATATTTTAATCCTTGAATATAGCTGTATATTTTCTAAGCTTTGAATCTAGCTTTTGTGGTAGTTAGTGTGCATATCCAAGCATAGAACTGCTTGGATACTGCAATCTTACTGTAGATAGTGGAAGGCTACAACATTGCTAAAGAGGAAAATACGGATTCTAAATGTTTGTGGTCTTAGGGTTTTAAGCATACGTGTTTAGATACAGAGCTTGTAGCCCTCGTAGTATCTCTGTACTTCCAAAGATGTGTTTTATTTTAGATATTTATTTGGATCTTTAATGAACGGTTTCAGGGATGGAATCACTTTTATTTTACAGTGTACATCCCCCTGGGCCCCTGTTTCTCAAAGATTTTTTTTTTTTTAATTCATTAAATTTTGCCATTTTTATGCTGAAGATTGGTGCAGGTAAGTTTCCTTTCTGTTGTTTCTTCTTGGGTATTGGGCATTGGTATGTACAGCAGTGTTCAGTACCACAGGCAGGAATCACAGTCTGACTGAGGTCACCTTATCCAACCCCCTGTTCAAGCAGAGCTGGTTGCCCGGGAGCATGTCTGGACAGCTTTTCAGTATCTCCACAGCCTCTCTGGGCAGCCTGTGCCAGTGCTCTGTCACCCTCACAGTGGAAAAATTATTCCTGATGTTCATGAGGAACCTCCTGTGTTTGAATTTGTGCCCACTTCTTCTGGTCCTGTCATTGGGCATCACTGAAAAGAGCCTGGCTCCTTTTTCCTTTTACCCTCCCTTCAGGTTTTTAAGTACATTTATAAGATCCACCACCCCTGAGCCTGTTTTTCGGGCTGAACAGTCCCAGCTTCCTCAGCCTTTCCTCATAGGAGAGGGAATCCAGTCCTGTAATCATCTTCGTAGCTCTTTGCTAGACTTTCTCTGCTATGTGCATGTCCTCCTTGTATGTGGAGTGCAGAACTGGCACAGTACTCCTGGTGTGGCCTCAGTGATGCTGGATAAAGGTGAAGGATCACCACCCTTGACCTAGCAACGCCCTTCCTAATGCAGTCCAGGACACCATTAGCTTTATTGTAGGGGCAAATTGCTGGCTCATGGTCCACCACGAGCCCCAGGTCCTTCTCTGCAAAGCTGGTTTCTAGCTGGGTGGCTCCCAGTGGTTGTTCTTCCCCAGGTGTAGAACTTTACACTTACTGCTGTTGAATTCCCTGAGGTTCCTGTTGGCCTGTTTCCCCAGCCTGTTGAGGTCCCTCTGAATGGTGGTGCAGGTCTCAGCCACTCCTCCCAGTTCTGTGTCATCAGCAAAATTCCCACCCATTGCCACACTCTGAGCCTATCAGCTTGTCTGTGAGGTTCCTATGGGAGACAGTGTCAGAGGCCTTACTGAAGACCAGGTAGGCAATATTCACTGCTCTCCAGTCATCTACCAGGCCAGTCACATTGTCGTAGAAGTTTATCATGTCCCCTGTGTGAAGCCATGCTGACTACTCTTGATGATTTTCTTGTCTTTAGTGTGTCAGGAAATGGTGTCCAGGATTAGCTGCTCCATCACTTTCCCAGGGATCAACATGAGCTGAGCAGCCTGTACCTTTCTTTAAGATAGGAGTGACTTTTGCTTTACTGTAGTACTAAGGCACCTCTCCCATTTGCCATGATTGATCAGATTGAAAGCAGCTTGCAATGACACCTGCTAGCTCCTTCAGGCATGCACTTGGGTGCATCCCATCACTATCCATGGACTTAAGTGTGTCCAGTTCACTTAAATATGGGGCCCCTCTACCTCCCAGGGCCTTATCCCATGGGACTCCTCCAAGCAGATATCTGAACAGGCCAGAGTCTGCTTTTCTGAAGTCCATGGTTGTGAGCTTGTTTTTTCACCTTCCTCCCTGCCCTCTGGATCCTGAACTCTACCATTTCAGGGTTACTGCAGCCAAGACTGCCTTTGACCTTCACATCCTAAATGAGCTGCTCCTCATTTGTATGAAGTCCAGAGCACCTCTCCTCATTGACTCCTCTATCACTTGGAAGAAGTAGTTAAGCAGTGCATTCCAGGAATGTCCTGGGTTGCTGGCATGTTGTGTTCTCTATTGAGGAGATGACAGGATGGTTGAAGTAAGGCAGGTCCATGTGTCTGTACAGGGCCTGATCCTTTTGTTGTTCCTTGTCAGGTGGACTGTAGTAGACATCCAGAATAATGTCACCTTTTCTTGTCCTGTCCTTAATCCCAACCCATAACCTCTACATCAGCTCTTCTTCCAACCCCAGGCAGACCTTAATGTACTCTAGCTGCTCTCTCACATAAAGGGCAAACCCTCCTTTTTAAAGAGCTCCCCTCCTCTACTTTCTAAAGAGCCCATATCTCTCCATTGCAACTCCAGTTGTGGGATCCATCCTGCCATATCTCTGTGGTCTCATGAAGATCATAACCCTTCAACTGCATGCAGATCTCTAACTCATTATGGTTATTCCCCATGCTGTTTGCATTAGTATACAGATACTTTGGAGAGGCACCTTAGAACATTGAGGTCCTGGAGAGGAACTCCAGGATAAGAGTTTGATAGTATTTCATCAAAGATGATTGCTTTAATTCTGGGTACTTTAATTGAAAGTTATACTGGATTCTGTGGGAGTAGTCATTAGTCTTGTGATTGATTAGGCTCTGAGGTTATACAGTAAAAAGAATAAGTCATATTACTTCAAGTACTAAATGCATAGTAATTAGCAATATTTCTTCACCCGTGAGAGTCCAGTGGTAACAGTATTATAAAGCAAGTGCAGAAGAATTTGGCTGTCAGTATGACGGTTTTTATTGTTGGTGTTGGTTTTCAGGTCAGTCAACTGGTCCAAATAAAGTACAGCATTCAACTAGAAGTCTGATAGTGGTGTAAATGCAAATTTTAAGAATGCTTAGGTCATGCTTTATCAGTGATGTTGCAGTCTTTGAGATTTCGGCAAAGCTTATGCTTAACTAAATCTTTGTCTGTAACAATGCTTCAGTAACTACCCAGTCAGAGTTCTTAAAAGTTTAGTTCATGTTTAGAATTAGGGTTAGGATACTTTGATTCCTTCCTCCTTATTGTTCCTTGTAACTTTTTCTTAGCTGGTGTTTTTTAATGAGGACCGTGCCTCCTTTTGTCAGGCAAATATGTCCAGTTCATAACACCTTTCTCCTGTTAGCAGAATAAGTTTATGAACTTCAGAACCATCTGTCCAATAGCCATCCATTTCTGTATCCCTGCAGGGTAGCTGTGTGGTGTGTTGGCATAGTTGAGTATTGTATTACACAGTAATAAGCTGTCTTTGCCCTGTAGTGTGTCTGCTTGTATGGATTTTGTAGTAGTGAAAAAATTGGGCAGAGGAGTTCTGTGAAGAAAAACTCTGAACACTGAAAATTAAGGGGAAAGGGTTGTAAAAATGTCTGATTTTCTTCTCAGAGGTAACTGCTGAAATTACAGTGGCATTAAAGATGCGGCAGCTGTTGTCAAAAGATATTACAGCTGAGATACTACAGTAAGCCTTTCAAGACCTTGTCCTCACATACATAAGATGGATGTGTGTGCTGTTACATAGGTGTTATTAATGCCCATGGTCTTTTGAGGTCTATTGTCAACAACTTGAGTTTATGCATGAAAAGTACTGGGAACCTGGGCTTTATATTGCAGCCAAGTTGTTCTATAAAGTCAAGATTATTTGACTGTGATGAATAGAGATAAATGAATAGACAGCAGGTGCACTTAACTGTGAAAGTGCTGTTAATCTGAGCACTTAACATTTGGGGGAAGATTTCTGTCTGCCGTCTGTAGAACTTTGAAAGCAGACTGCAAAACTACTGTAAAGAAAAATGGAAGATGCTTTTCAAGCTGTTTGTGGAGTTACTCAAAAAAACAAGCCATAATTCTGGCACTGTGTGTCTATTTAGTTAATGTGTGTTTTGGATTTAAAAAAACAACAAAACAAACAAACATACACAGACAGGCATCAGTGCCTTCTCCCAAAATACTGTTGTGTAGGGATATGGGGAACAGCCCCTCTCTGCCAGACCTGTAGTTATGCACTGCCTGGATAGGTGGTCCCAGTTTGATACTTCAGTGAATACTTAAACATTCTGGTTTGTCTGCTGCAATGAGTGTCAAGCAAAAAAGTAGTAATCCTGTGTGATCAGACTCTACTGCCCATGACAGAATTCATGTACAAAGACTAATGGTTTCAGGACACTGCAAATTAAGTTTGAATATTCTAGCTCTGGTTTTCATAGCATTCTGAAAATCATGAAGTAAATGATATATAAATTGTTGTCTGCACTGGGATACATTTTCTGTATTTTTTGAATATGTTGCTATGAGTTTATGAATATCTAGAATGTTATTTCATCTAGAGTGTCTAATGATTGTCTCGAGTTCCATTTTGTGTAAAAAAAAAAAAAAATCTATAAAGTCATGTTTTTTTCTTGCTTTGTCATTTCAGATTTGTCCAATATGTGCAGCATTACCTGGAGGGGATCCAAATCATGTCACAGATGACTTTGCAGCTCATCTTACACTGGAACACAGAGCTCCTAGAGATTTAATATCCTTTCCAAGTTGGGGCAAAGAGGGTAGGCTGTTTAATCTGGTGGCCATGATAACTTTTTGATTTTTATAGTCAAAGAGTCATACCTCTGGTTTTCTTGGAACTTAAGCTGCTAAAGATCTGTATGTCAAAAATAAAAAGGTTCATTTACTAGTTTAAAAGATTATAAATACTAGATTGTGAAGAGACTGTAGATAAACTTCATAGTGCTTTCTGCTCTAACAGCAAGGGTAATAGAACTTGGACAGTGAGAGGGGTTTTTTTTCTACTTGCACTGTGGTTTATCCTGCCTGATCATAGTCAGATTCAGTAGTGTGCTGTAGGTGTTTGTGACATGAAGATAATGATCTGAGGATGATTTGAGCTTAGTTACTTTTGGCAAATGATTTTAAACTTGCTTAACTACTTTTAACACCATGTTTTGATAACAATTTTCACTGGTACTGACACATACGCTAGAAAACTTTCAGATTTCCTGGAAAACGCACAGACACACACACATACCTGGGTTAACTGATTAAATATAATTTGGTTTGGGCTTTTATTTCATGTAGCTTCTCTACAGTAAGTATCTCTGAAGTATTCCTTTTGTCTCATTTAAGCAGACAAAAAGACTACATTATTACTCTGGTGGTGTCTTTTTTGTTTAAAGATTTTTAAAAAGGGGAAAAAAAATAAATCTAAGCCCTAGCAACTGGAGTAAAAGAAAATAAAAAATAATCCAAGCCCCTAGCAACTGGATAGTATCCTAACAGAAGGGAGACAGCATATAAGGAGATGGCTCCATTTCTGTTACTATTTTGTTTCTTAGTGTTACCATGGTTTAGGGTCAGGACAGACTAACTGCACATGTTAATTACTACAGAGTGCATTTAACTGTTCTGTAGGCCAAGAAATCTTCCCACTTAGATTGCAGTTAATTTCATATTGACATGAACAAGATGTTTGGTTAGAATCCACATTTCTGCAGCTTTTTCTCCCAAACCAGTATCAGAGATGCCACTGGATGACTTTTAATTTGGGAATGAATATTTGAGTTAGAAAATAATACTTTTTTCAAATACAGAGTAAGGCTTCAGTGTCAGTCATCTCAAAATGGATCTTACTTGGATAAATTTTGGGAGTAAATTGTCCGTGATTCAGCATTAAAGGCAACACATATGGAATTTTCTGCTTGTACACTGTAGTTTCAATGATCAGCGTTGCCTCCAAAACCTGACAAGAAGCGTGTCCCGAAATGACTATTCCATGCTGGACTTTAAATCATGTGTAGTGACAGGCTGGTCTAAAGTAGGAAAAAGAAAAAAGGAAGAGGATCTGCTAGCATAGTTAAAAATAACTGTCAAAGTCAGGGAGCTGTTAGAAGCTGGTAGGTTTGAAAAAAGCAGACAGTCTGTAAACTGCTTTTGTAAGGCCAGAAGTTCTTCCTTGCCATGAGAAGTCTAGTCTCACGGCAAGACTTTCAGTCTTACATTCTTGACCTTCTCCATGGTATCCTGAGGTTCTGAACTGTAACTTTGTTTTATGAAAAGTACACTGGACATAGTATTCTCACACAGTAACAGATACTGTGGTAAGCCTATTACAAAGACAAAACATGGGAGATACGAGGATCTAAGCTAAAAGTCTAGTAACAGTAAAATAAGATATTCAAGCCTATGCTATTTCACTTTGCACTAGTGAATTATACTAGTGATTTTTAAAATTAACCCTTACCTGGATTGTGTTGGAGGAATGAATGTTAACATTTTCATGGCAAAAATCTTTAAAAAGTTTTTTGATTGCCTCAATTTATAAGAGGAAACATACAAAAGGTAGATTTGAAATAGAAGCATCTGATATGGAGAGGTGGGGGAAAATTAAAGATGACATTGTCATAACTGGAATTAGTGGTATTTCTTTGGCTAAAAGAGGAAGGGCTAAAAGAGGAAAGTGCAGAATGCTCTAGAAACCTACCATTTCTTAGGGATTGAAGTGATGAAATTTCTTGGATAAAAAACATGAAACACAAATCAAAAGCAATACAGTAGTTATTGGGTACTTTTGATAAGTATGGCAACAAATGTTTGGGTTTTTTATTTTTTTTAATATTCAGTACTTAAGAATTGGGAATGGAGAATAAAATTCCTATGTCTCTGTGATAAGCTTGGCTGAGCATGCATTTGTTAAAGTTTTCAGATTACTGAGTAGAAAACTTTGATCTAAAAAAATTAATCCTGATGTTTCCTAGGCATCATAAAAGGCTTGGGTTCAGTTGAGTAACTCTGACTAGCACCATAGCTACACTGCATTGTAGCTGTGCCTCAGAAGTTGAATCATTATGAATGAAGAACACTGTTCACCCGATTATTTCACCCATAAAATGTTCTTGTCATTTAATACTCCATGTGAAACAGTTCTGGTTTCTTAACTACTTGGTTACGATGAATCCAGTGGTGTTCGGCATGTACGTAGGATGTTCCACCCAGGCCGGGGTTTGGGAGGCCCCCGTGCACGTAGATCAAACATGCACTTTACTACCACTTCCCCTGGTGGGCTTTCATCTTCTCAGAGTTCGTATTCTCCAAGCAATAGAGAAGCCATGGATCCTATAGCTGGTAAGAGCTGTAACCACAGATTTTACCCCTGTGTCCCCTGCACAGGAAATAAAACTCAAGGTGATAATAGCTGCCTTGCTTTCTGTTGGTGTGAAGTTGCATGTGTAGATATGCTCCACAGTGCTTGATGTGATTGATGGCTGCTTGCAGGTGGGCAGTGTGCTTGGCTGCGTTGTCATAGGGCCTGTGCATGGAGGTGCTGAAGCTGAAACAGAGCTGGCTGTAGCTTGTGCTTTTAATTCTTGACAGCATAAGGCTTATTTTCTGAGCCTGATCTGTGCACGGGGGCTGCATATTTTTACAAATGATTGTGTCCAACTTCCATCACATACTTTTAGTACATCTTAGTTTGATTTGCCATGTGGATAAAGGTGTTCATGGAGGAGACTGTTTCAATGAAGATGAAATTAGCTGAATTGAGTATTAATGAACATTTAAAGTATGTTTGGTTTGGATTTAGGCTGCTGTTTGAATGCCAGAATTTGCTAATATCATGGATTTATTGTTTTAAGTGTACTTGTAAATTCTTATATAAATGCACTCTTGCAAGTATTATCAGTGTATTTTGGTCATGTATAGAAAAACTCTGAAGGGAGAAAGGGTGCCTCACTTTCAACAGCAGAAAATAATGAATATATGTCTGTAGGATTCCCAGGAATAACTTGTTTGGCATTTTCTAGCAATTACAGTGGAATTAAGTTATTTGATCTTGGAATTGCTATGAGTGCTGGTAAAAATTACTTGACCATTCTGAGTTTCTGACATAGAAACCAACTGTAATTTTTTTTATTGCCTCAAAGAAAGCTTTATTTAGAAGGATTGTGTTTTGTTAATGGAAGGAAAATTGTCATGACCTATATAGTAACTTGGCAATGCAGAGTTAAGGGGCAGAAGCTGTACCACCCCCTACTTTGTCTGCCCTTACATCAGTTACAGTGAGCAGGTTATATAAGAAGTACCTTCGACACAGGGTGCAGAGGAGGTTCTGCAGTAATGCACTGAGCAATAATTTGCTGCTAATACTTATTTCAGAAAGTTCTTTGTGGATGAAACCTGCTTATAAGCATTTCCATTCCTGTGAAATGGAAGACTTTAAGGACAGAGTATTTAATTGCTAGGTCTTCTCTGTACTTCTGGCAGAAAGAATAATTCATACAGCAAAAATGCTTGACCAGTTCTGATATGAAGCAATACTTTTTTCTTAACTAAGTATGTTTTGTTAGATATTTGAAGCAGTGGTTCAATATTTGTCTCGTTGCTGCAGCCCAGCTTCCCTGTGGGGATATTGGGAAGATGAAACCTGTGTTTGAGGGGAGATTTGTTGAGAGGAAAATAAAATCGCCAACCAAAGCCAAAATAAAGTAGTTTCTTAGTCAGCTGCTATTTTGACTTGAAGCTTCAAGGAGTTGTTGCAAAGGGCATTATTTGCCAGGCATTCCTTGTAGGTTGGCTCACTTGTTATGCTGAAGGCATTAAACTTTGACTTATTTGAAATAAATCAACATAAATGAGTCTTAAATCTTCCTTACCCTTTGGGACATGGAATGCTAAGACTTTTATTTTCTAGAGCTTCATGGTCTCTTAAGAATTGTTTGTTCTTTGATATTACTGTTTGAAAAAAGGTACTGATGAAGGGTGTATTCATTCTATTGTGTAATGCTTATTTATCATCACAGAAACTTTCTCTTCCCTGGCAGAGCTTTTATCTCAGCTATCAGGTGTGAGGCGTTCTGCAGGAGGACAGCTGAACTCCTCTGGCCCTTCTGCTTCTCAGTTACAGCAGCTGCAGATGCAACTGCAGTTGGAAAGACAACATGCACAGGCAGCAAGACAACAACTGGAGACTGCACGCAATGCAACTAGACGCACCAACACGATCAATGTTAACACCACTATGACACAATCCACAACAACAGCCAACACATCTAACACTGAAAACAGTCAGCAGACTATCCAGAATTCCCAGTTTCTTCTCACGAGGTAATTTGTTCTGTTTGTTTACTTATTTTTACCTTTTATTTCTTTCTTTCACCTTTTATTTCTTTTTTTCTTTTGCATTGGTTCTGATAGAGACATAGAGCTCAATGAAACTGAAGTGTCTGAAGTTAGGCATATGCCCTAGTAAAGCAGTGTCTGATCAAATATATCCCAGAGTTAATGAGCTAATTAATCATACAGAATATAGTCACAGTAGACATTAACAGTGCTCGCAGAATGTGTAATACATAAAACTTGCTTCATCCACATTTCTAGCATGAAAGTGAAACCGGTAATTTAATATCCAAGAGTAGCAGTTTGTAGCTGGCCCAGATGGAATTGTTCTGTGTTTGGAAAACCAGCTCCAGGAGCTGGCTGCAGAAATACCCTGTGGTGGTCTAGTATTTGTGAAGAGGAGAGGCAGTCTCACAAGTGTGCTGGTACGACTTTTGATGCACCTAGGAACACATTTAAAGAAGTAGGCTTGAGTAAGGGTTTCTGCAAACCTTGAAAAGGAGGCTGGTTTTGAGATTGGGCTGAGTAAGTTACTTGTGACTCCAGGCAGGGGACTTCTGCCAAGATCCTTCATCAAATCTACAGCCAACATAGGTAGTTTTGTTTGCATTTGTAACATCCATTTAAACCTACTGTCTGTCTGCTCCTCAGCGATGCGTAAACACTGGTTGCTGCATGTCAATTTCAAGAGGAACAAAAGGAATATTTTGTAACTAAATTGTGCTTGTTTCCCCTACTACTTCTACCAAAACAAGCGCATTTCCAGTGATATAATGGAAAGTCACAGATTTGCATTGTTTAATAGAAAAGATAACAAAGATAGTGTTGTTTAATAGAAAAATAATCTTCAGTAAAAACTGAAGGCTGAAAAGTGTTTATATGTTATTTTTGAAGACTGGATAACAAAGCAAATAAAGGATGCCATTAATTAACAGAATACATACCTGGTTTAGAAACTATACTTAGTTCCCAGGGTTATTTTAAAGAGGAGTCACCCATTGCGTCATTCCAGTTCTTTTAGAAGGTTGGCTGTTGACCTGAAATAAAAAAGTTTTCCACACTTGTCCTGCCATGCTGCCCCATACATATTTTTGTTTGTCCTTTTGATACTGTGAAATAGCGTGGGCATTTCAAGAGCTCCTGTGTCAAGAAACTTGGATGTGAGTTAATAAAATTCTTATCTTAAGTGCAAACTAGTATCAGAAACTCATGTTATTATTTGAGAGACTCAATCAAAATACCTGCAAGCTTCACAGGTTGTGACTTTCAGAGTTGGAGCAAGCAATTTCCTTGCCTATCAGGCACACTAACCCAGGAGAAGCAGTGGAATGAACTTTGCATTGTGCTTTTGGTAATACTTAGGCCTTGCACATGCAGTAATTTATTTTGTGGCATATGTGAAGTTAGAAGTTGCTGTAGAAACAAAAAGAGGCACATAATGAGTGTCCAGGAGATCACAGCAGCCCTTACTGAAGGACTCCTGCATAGCAGGAAACCTCACTAATAGTTTCTTATTTTCCTCTAGCTTTGGGTTCTGCTTTGAATGCTGCGGTAGCGGCAGGGAAGGGGTGGTTGGTTACCTGCGTGCCTGTTGTACCGAGGTGTTAGAGGTTGCCAGAGTAGGCAGGACTGTCCCGAAGGAGTGGTTTTCAAGTGCCTTTTGGCACCTGTCAGTAGCGTCATGGGGGAAATGGGCTTTCACCAACTGCCTCTTCTCTTCCCTTGCTGCTGCACAGGTTGAATGATCCGAAGATGTCGGAAGCGGAGCGTCAGTCAATGGAAAGTGAACGGGCAGACTGCAGCCTGTTTGTTCAAGAGCTTCTACTGTCCACTTTGATGCGGGAAGAAAGTTCCTCCTCAGATGAGGATGAGCGGGGGGAGATTGCAGATTTTGGTGCTATGGGCTGTGTAGATATTATGCCTCTAGATGTTGCTTTAGAAAACCTAAATTTAAAAGAGAGTAATAAAGGAAACGAGCCTCCTCCACCTCCTCTTTGATGACATCCCACTTTGCAGACAATGTCCTCTGTGCTGTATTTGCCAATGAAAGTGGACAACAACTATCTTGGGTTTGTTTTGGTGATTGTAATTTCAGGTCTGTCACTCTTGTTACATTGTGTACATTCAAAAGAAAGAGAGAAAAGATATATATGATAATCATTTCCACTTAACTAATTTTTACTTCTAGCAGGTAAATGTAGGTTGCAGTGCAGAGCAAAAAGCTCTGTGTCCTGTACCTTGACATGCAAAAGGCTTTCCTAATACTCCACATTCAAACTGAAGAGGAAAAAAATGAAAAATCTCTAATGAAGCTGCTGTGTGTATTTATGAATATTAATGAATAAAACTGCTTGGATGGTTTACCTTAACTACTGCATGATGTTTTTTGCAGCGTGCATGAGTTTTAGTGACCTTGTCATTTAAAAAAATTAAATACAAGGAGTAAAACTATAATACCCAAAGCTTTCCCATTATTCGAAGGTTAAATGACAAAAAGGTTAGTGCTGACTAGCAGTTTGTGGCCACAAAGTAGCTTTTGAATAATATGTGACAGAATGACATCTTTATGTGCTGTTCCTGCACAGGATGGAAACTCTGCAGTGGGATATATTGCTGTGACCAGGGCATGGTGTTTTGCTCTATGTGACCATTATGTTGCCCTATTAGCCATCACCTCAGTGTGGAGTTGAACTTCGTTTTATGCACCTGTAGGAGACGGAACAACAGTAAGGCCACTGCTGGAAGCTACTGCGAGGGGCTTTTGTGTGCCCTGAAATCAAATGATGTTCACTTTTGTTTAAAGTTTTTCCTTTTTGTGGTTGTTAAAATTTTTTCATTGTTAAGTATGTTTTATTCAGGTGTAGACAATTCATATATTCACTGTTTAAAAAGAAAGTTAACCTGGATCATGTTGTCTTTAGTTTTTAAAAGGCTTTCACAGTCTCAATCGTGTTTTGAGTTATTTATGTATTTGCTTCATAGTTTGCAGAGACCTGTCAGTATCAGGAGAGCTTGAGGATTTGGATTCCCAGATTGTCAGAATATTACAATTGAATTCTTAATGCTAACTTTAGCACCTTTTATTTATTGTTTCTTTTGGTTATTTTTGCTGGTATAAAAAGTTGAAAAAGCCTTTTAGTTGAATTGTGCCACCCACATGCCTATACTGTTAACCCTGCTGGTTTGGAAAACAAGAGTATGGTGTTCTTTTGCATAGAAGTTTATGATAGCCCCAAGGACAGAATGGGTATTTTTGGTTTTGGTGTTCTTTTTTTCTTTTTGTGGTTTTATTTTTATTCCTTTGGTGGGTTTTTGAATGTAAAGTTAGATTATAAAAAAACAAAATGCACACAGCTTCTGATGAAAATTTAAACTAGGCTTATATCATAATGGTGTCTTCCCAGAACTTCCTCACCTCACCCCCTCTCTCTTTCTATGTATCCTTCCATCTCTGCAGCATTGCTAGGGTTTTAGAGTAAATCTACAGACTTGAACACCAGATGGTGTTCTCAGCAGAACTGTGACGTGTATGCTAATCCAGCGTAACAGCAGCAAAAGCAGCAACCCCATAGGCTGAAGTTTTAAGTTCCATTCTTCTTTTTTTTTTTTTTTTTTTTTCCTGTTTTTTTCTTTTTAAATCCTCAAATCTTGATTGTTTCCACATGGAGCAGTACTGGCTTTGTTTTCTGTTAGTCTCTGCAACAGAAAATGTTTCAAGAGAAACTTTACATGAGGCCTCTGGTTGTCCTGAGAGTTACCCCCAGTAGGGACTTTTTTTATTGATTGTTGAGGATTTTCAGAAGTTTTTCAAGCTGTAGTCTTTTCAAACACATCTTCTGCACATTACGATAAGACACACGGTTCAATAAAGCATTTTGAAGACTGTTGTTCAGTTGATTTTCTTTGGGTTTGATGTATTATCCAGACACTCTTATTCCAAAACTTCTGCAGCTGTCTTTAATTCCAGCTGTGATTCACATAACCACATTTTAGACCCCCATGCTTTGGCTGGTGGTGGAGTATGTAATCCTGAGCCCTTCACAGGTAGGTGAATTCAAGTTTGCGTGGAACAGGATGCATTTCAAGTAGGCTCTCCAAATTGCCATTTGGAATTGGTGTATGGCTGGTCTCCAGAGGCCACTTGTATGACTTCCAGACTGCACTCCACTTGGTTTGGAGAGGATGCAAGCCAGTATTGTCTGTGTTTATTTAGAGACTGAGTATGTGCCAGCTTGGATTTAAAGGTATTTTTGTGCATCACATTTGCTCTTGAAGGTCTTCAGTTGGTGTCGGGGGTTCTCTTGGTGGTTTGTTTTTTTTTTTTTTTTTTTTTGGGGGGGAGTGGGTGTAGTAGGTTGTGGGGTTATTTTGGTGTGGGGTTTTTGGTGGTTTTTGTTTCTTTGGGTGGTTTGGTTTTGGTTTTTAGGTTTAGAAACAAACTGACATGGCCACTAGGAAAGTGTTTATTCTAGTAGTCTTGCCAGTTCCTGTTTGCAGGGAAGTGTCTTCCTTCATAGTCAGCTTGGTCAGAATAGTGTTTTGGGGTGTATTTCTAAAACATCTGTGCTTATCTTCAGGGTTGTCAGGACTGCAGTGGAGACGGCCTCAGCCACTTTGCAGGACCATCCTGTGGAGGCTTATTGCCTTTTCCTTGTGAGGGAAGGAAACTCCCCCCACAGAACAGCCACCTCTCAGCACACTCTGTGGCCACAGCCATGCCAGAAGCACAGCGTCGCAGAACTGTTAGGGTTGGAAGGGATCGCTGGAGGTCATCCAGTCCAACCCTGGTGGCCATGGCAGGGGCACCCAGGGCAGGTGTCAAAGGAACACGACACAGGAACGTGTCCAGGCGGGTTTTGAATGTCTGCAGAGAGGGAGACCCACAACCCCCCTGGGCAGCCTGTGCCAGTGCTCTGACACCATCGTTGTAAAGAAGTTCTTCCTCATGTTGAGGTGAAACTTCTGGTGTTTTGATTCATGGCCATTGCTCCTTGGCCTGTTGCTGAGCACCACTGAGAAGAGTCTGGCACCATTCTTCTGGCACCCACCTTTGAGGTATTTTGTACATTAATGAGGTCCCCTGTCAGTCTTCTCTTCTCTAGACTAAACAATTTCTCCTCATAAGAGGTGCTCCAGTCCCCTGATAATCCTTGTGCCTCTTTGCTGGGACTTCCACAATTCCTGGAGTGCCATGAAACCTGCATCAAACCAGTGCAGGAACCAGTGCGTGTCTGTAACCTGCAGCTGGCAGGAGCCTGTGCAGAGGTTCTGGATGGAATGTAGGATGTGTGGGTTCATGGCCGGATGTTCTGGCTGGTGCTGCTGGCACACTGCACCCCATTGTTGCTGGTGGCTGCCAGCGTTCCTCGGTGTCGGCCTTGTGTGAGCAAGGATGAGCTGCCAGGGGGCTTTTGGGGAAGAGGGTGGACAGAAGGACACATGTTCAGAACCGATATCTTACAGCAGTTGAAGGCATACGCAGACGTATTTTGAGGGAACAACCCCCCCAGACTAACTGTGGAAAACTGACTTGGAATTGCATCATCTTCTCTTTGTGACCTGTGTAAGTCAGGGGTCTAGTGTTTGTTTGTGTTTGAGTGACTGACCCAAAGAGTCCCTCACAAGGTGGTGTGATGATGAACAGCAGCCTGCACGCAAGGTCCTGCAGCAGCGCTGCCTGCCTGTGCTTGTAGGGTGCCCCGTGTGGATACAAACGTGCCGGGCTGTGCTGTATTGCACTGGTCTGTGTGCATGAAGAGTTACTTTTAGGTACTTGTGACTTGTGGGGAAAAAAAGATGTAACAGGGCCTGATGTAAAAGGTGCGCCCACCATGTCTTTTTAACACAGCAATGGCTCGTGCTTCCTGTAATCGCACTGAGGTTAGAGGAAGCGGGGCCACTGCAGCTGTGGGGTTTGCAGGAGAGGTATGAGCAGAAGACAGTGATGTGCAGCGCTGTGTCCTCCCTGTTGGGCCGGTAACTGCAGTGGAGTGAGGGGGGTCAGTTTCCATACACCCTGTGGGACATGGGGAAGGGTAAATGCTGTAGGGAGGTGACTGCAGGCTTGGGAGGTGT